AAAAATACTTTTAAAATCTAGTTTATAGGAATAATCCTTTAAAAAGTACAATGGAATACTTCTATTTGAGAAGGAAGGAGTATAACATTAAATTTCCTAAATTAAATGTTTTGCTTCATCTTTTTAATATGCAACTCAATCTTGTTACACTTATTTTGAATGATTTAATTCCTTGTTCAAGCAAGATTTGCCAATAAATCTTTGGAATCCTTTATCTCAAAAATGCACTTGCTCTCTTGACAATCAAACCCATGAATGGTCCAATGTGCAGCTTGTGTTACTGGCATGCAAAAATCTACTTTGTCCCATTGCTGCTGACTTGATTCATAAAATCTTCCAATCAACAGATATTAAAACTATAGTTGAGATTTAATTTTTAAAATGGATTTTCTCTTGAAAATTGGGAGGGGGGGTTAGTTTGGCCACAGCTCCTGTGCCAAAAATTGTGCGCGTGCTGGTGGATGCACGCTGATGTGCAAGCACCCAGAAGGCAATGCGCGTCCCCACCCCACCCCCTGTGCATGTGCACACTATCCCCCTGCCCCCCACTGCCCTCTTACCTGCACTGCTCCTCACAGCTGATTTTTGGCTGGTTTGAGGCCTTTTTTGGCCTCCCAGAGACTTGAAAAAAGCCTCTGCAGGATGAATAGGCCCGTTTCGTCACTTACAGGAAGTGATGAAATGGGCCTATTTGGCCCGGAGAGGCTTTTTTCAAGCCTCTGGGAGACCAAAAGAGGCCTCAAACCAGCCAAAAATCAGCTGTGAGGTGCACACATGCGCAGTGAGGCAAGTTTGCCTGTGGCTCGCGTGCTGGCACAAATGGCTCTGCGTGCCACCTGTGGCACACGTACCATAGGTTCGCCATCACAGCTATAGAGGTTGTTAATGCCTATGTGTAGGTTGATGGCTGATTTGTCAGAATGCCAGGCTTCTAGAAACTCCCTGGCATCTTTGGATTTGGCTTGGTCTAGGATTGTCACATTTTCCCAATTGAAACTATGGTTAAATCTGTCTATATGTTATGGAATTTAAAAAATTCTGTCAGGTTTTCTGATTGCCAATTGGTGTCCATGGATGCATTCAGGTAGTCTTCTGCCTGTTTGTCCTACATAGTGGCTATTGCAGTCCTTACATTGTATTTTAGGCTAGCAGAATCCATTAAGAAAATATTTTGGGATCAGTGTTTTTTTAAACACAAATCACCTTGACTTAAGGGTAACAGCAAGGCACCTGATGGGGGCAAGTTAATAATGAAGATCTATTCTGTGTTTAACATAACTTGATCTATTTGGGTATTTTTGTTGACCGCTGTGGGTGATTCTCAGTCATTAGTCATGATTGTCCCATGGAGGCGGCATCAGTAATGGGAGACAACCCTTTTAAAATGATTAGGACATTTATTGTAACATTAACTGATTACCTGCGGCTGCCACAAGCTAGCAAGTTCACACGCGGTGGCGGGCAACAGCTGACTCACCTGACAGCTCCTTTTATACTGCAGCTGTCAGCCCAGCCAGCCAATGAACGGCGGCTACAACTCCCGTCAAAACTGTGGACTAGAATGTGGACCACGTTGGTACGTAACACTTTTCCAGCAGGCAACTGGACTGCCTTGGTTTTATTTTTTCCTTTGAAGACATTTTGTTTGTCATCAAAGAAACTTCTTTAGCTCTGACTGGATGGTGGAGAATGAAAGGATTTATATTCCTTGCAAACAGCTGGGTACAGACAACAGTCTCATCCACAATAGCCTGCGCCTGATTTCAACAGTGAAGGGACACAGGGCGGAAAACATCCTGCAGCCAAGAAGGCTCCACCTCCTTTGTCAGTGGTGGGATTCAATTTTTTTTACTACTGGTTCTGTGGGCGTGTCTTGGTGGGCATGGCAGGGGAAGGATACTGCAAAATCCCCATTCCCTCCCCCACCCCACTAACCTGCTTTCCAGCTCCATTCTCCTGTGCAGGGCAACAAAAGAAGACCCAGCCGATCAGCTGAAACTTGGGAGGCAGAGAATAGATGTGGGGGGGAGTCCAGTCAGAGGTGGTATTTGCTGGTTCTCTGAACTACTCAAAATATCTGCTACCAGTTCTCCAGTACTGGTCAGAACCTGCTGAATACCACATCTGCCCTTTGTACTACTCAGGTGACCCTGAGGGGACAGATAAACCTCCATATAAATCATTCCATTCCCTACCATCCAGTCAAAGCTGAAGAAGCTTCTTGGTCTTCAAAGAAAAAACAAGAAAGTCCTCCTGAAAAAACACCTTAGGAGTTAATGTTTTTACAGTAGTTCTTGAAGCAACTGTTGGAAGAATTATCCTTCTGGTTTCAGTTCCAAGTGGGGAAAAAGACACTGGAAACATGGAGGCTATTCGGAAAGATGATTTAATGGTGGACAGGACCACATGGCTTGGAGCTCCAAAGTGAAAAGGACGATCACATGCTTGAAGATGTTGGGTGAAGGAAAAGAAGGGGCAAGATGCTGAGAGACCCTTAGTTTTATACCCTCTGTTGGGCCCCACCTTAGTGTTTCCTGTTCCTGTGTAAGAAATGTATCCCATTGGCTGTCAGACACCCAGGTGTGGGGGTCTTAGCTAACTCTGTAGGCTTTGTCTGGGCTTCACCTGAGTGCTGGTTGATGCAATCTTCCCAGGCCATGTGGTAGAGGGCTTTGTTATGTAAAATACTGTGGCCCAAGCCTTAATGGCCCACCCATTAACAAAAGTGGGGGTGAGCTTCTGCTTCTGAGGTGAGTTTCTGCTTCTGAGTTTCTACTTCTCTTTTTAGGGGAAATATTCTGCCTTTTTAATATTTCTTAGGATATTTCATTTTTCTAGGAGAGGGGTGGGTGCTAACTTCCTACACAACAAAGCAAGCTATAAATGAAGAATGTATAGCCAGATAAGAATGGGTTCAAAGCTGCCAAGGACTTGAACTTTAGTTACTTTCAAACTCATAATATGCAAACCATATATCCTGAATATTTAGATGAGCGTTAACAAAGTCATACTAAGAAATTATGGAATTTTGCAAGTAACAGGCTAGAGCTACTGCACAGAAATGTGTCAAAATGGGACTTCCGGTTTGAGCTTCTTCAGCGACAGACCGAAACCTCGTCTCTGCGAGGCTTCGATCCGTGCGCGCCACTGGAGCGCCCCAAGCCGGCTGGTTTCAGGGCTAAGCCACCCCGTAGAGGTGGTGAAGAGGGGGGAGACTGCCAGCAGGGTTGAGGAGAGTTGCATCTCTCCTCCCCAGCTGGCCATTACTCCCTTTCCCAAAGGCGGTTGCAGCGGTGGTCACAAATGGCCACCACAAAGAAGAACTTGGCTGGAAAAGAATGTGCAGGAGGAAGATAAGAAGAGAAAGTTTTGGTTGACCGGGTCAAACAGCAAACAAATAAGGTACTCTGGAATTGAAACTGTTAAAAAACAATAACATTGTTCCCTAAGAAGATTTTTAAGCTGCGAAGGAGAGAGAAAAGGGAAAAGATTTGGTTTTCTCCTTTTCCTATACTGACAGCTAAGAGACTTAAGCAAGAAATTGGGAAAAAATCCACTTTGACATCAATAGGCATTTAATGCTGAAAATAAAAAGTCAAAGGGATAATAAAGATTTCAGGATAATTAAAAGCTTTTGAAAACAGGAAAGGAGAGAAAAAGAATAAAAGGGTAAGATCTGGAAGGGAGGAGACTGCCTGGAATTAAAAAAGAACTTATAGCAAAATCTCAACAAGACTTCCAAAAGATACATTCTAACTGAAATATCGCAACAAAAACCCCAGGAAGAGAAAGTCAAAAAAAAATCGGGTGGTTGTTTAAAACTGTTTAAAATGGCTCCACTTTTAGAAGAACTGAAAATGGAACTTAAAAAGTACAAAGAAGATGCACAAGAAGGGAGAGGTTCTTTTGGCTTCGTATTTCAGTTTTTAGAAATGGAGATTTGGAATTATGAGAAACAACAAAAAATGCCTGCAGAACAAGAAGATTGCGACAAAGAAGAAGCCTCCTTTAATGAACAAGTAATCTTAGATGGGGGGAAAAAAGGAAAGGGGGGAAAGAGAATGGAAAGTTTAAGATTGGGAAAAACAACTCCAAAAAAAGATGTTAAGATTTCAATGTTTATTAATGATAGGACTGAACTGGAATGGAATGAGGGTTTATAATTACATATATTTACAATCTTTCTTTTTTTAAAAAAGAATATAGTGTGTATTATAAGAATGTACCAAGCAGAATTCGATTGGAAGTTATGTATTATGTATTATATTGAAGGTCATAAACTTAAGGTATATATTGAAGTTTTAAAAAGAGTTGAATGGATGTAATTAAAAGATATAAAGGTGTCATACTCCAATTAGTAACTACAGGAGAAAATTTGTTTAATGAGAAAAGATAATATGAAATTGAAACAGAACAGACAAAAGTATAAATATAATGATTTGAATTGAGATGAGATTCAAAATAAAATTGAGAAAATTAAAAGAGGGGAAAAACTATATAGAAAATGTAAAATAGTATAAGATATGGAATAGAATACAAAAAGGAGCATGAAATTGAGTTTTGTGTCTGTATAAAGAAATTCAACCCGGGACCATGCCATTTTCAAAAAAGATGTTTTACTTGTATTTTATGTGTGAAAACCCAAATAAAACTTTATTTAAAAAAAAAAAAGAAATGTGTCAAAATGACTATAACCAGTAAAAGAACTCACTCCAAAGCCAATAGGTTTAAACTACAGTATATATAAAGCAATTGCCCAGCTTTTTAAGCTAGTCCTCTTTTGGTTGAATGATCAGTGAGACGCCCTCTGTACTTATGAACATAAAAAAGAGCTATTTTAATCTGCCTTTCTGGCTTAAGCTGTTTTGGTAAGACACACCAGACTAAAGGACTTGCCAACATTTACAGCTAACAAGTTTTCCTTGGAAAAAGGAGAGTTGAACATGTAGTTATGGCATTGTTTTGAATTAGTAAGCAGGCAATTTCATGCAGACACTCCATTAGCACTACTAATTCAGTTTTATTGTATATATATAGGAAATAACAGTATCAAACACTCTACAGACTTGACTTTAAATGTATGCAAACTTCTACTAATCTCTTTGGGATCAGAGTAATTATTGTATGTAACTGCTATTAACATTTCTATTGCCAATGACTTGTTTACCAATCACTTGTGTTCCAATTTTGCTAGGTGTTTTTTTCCTCTTTTCTGTAACATCAGACCTCCTTCATAATACATCAGAAAAAATAAATGCAATCCAGAATATAAACAAAGAACTAATAAACTGTATACATCATCAAAAATTCTTGCTGCTTGCTTCTAACAATGATGAAAAAAAAAGTTCTTTTAAAACTTGCCACCATTCAGTGTGGTGCTTAAAGGCTGCAATTGAAAAATAAACAAGCTAGTGAATAAAATAAAACAATATAATATGAATTGCTTCTCCTATCACCACTGGTGCAACACTTCTCACAATTCCTTCCAGGGTTTGTTGTTTTTTCTTACTCTGGCTGGTCATAGGCTGGTGGAGAGGATGAATTTGTTTCAGTTGAGACTGGTGCATATCCGCTGATTACTTGGTAAGGCACAAAACCCATGGCTGCCTGCAACAGAAAATAATATTTATACATATAAATACTGTGTCTTGGGGACATCTTACTCCAGGTAGGAGGAATAGCTTCTCCAGTTGTGTATTTTTAATTCTAGCATTGTGCTCTCCTAGAATAAGCTGGGGCCTTATCCTCTGAAACCTTCAGAGAGTTATAAGCTCTGATAGAGAAGTCTTTAAAGGTAGAAATTAACATCCAAATGACTTATAGCCTGGCCACTTAATCACCTTTCTCTGATCTACCCACCTGGTCCAGATATAATGAGATAAAATTATTATCAAAGGATCAAACACTTACCTGGTCATTAGCACAGCAAGTTGCCTGGCATCCAAAATGTGCAAGTGAAACAGCGATGGAAAATTCCAGCAATCTGAACAAGAACAACACGCTGGAGAGGCAAATGCCGACTTTCTGTAGAGTAGGGAGGACACATGTGGAAAGATTGTGATTTGCTGAGCAATTAACCCATCTATGTGCTACACCATTAAAAGGGACTCCCAGCTGCTTCCTTGGAAACACCAAGAGGAACATTATATCAGGAAAATATGGGACAGTATATAGTCTCTGATATAATGAGAAAACCAGATCAGAGGATATTGTAGCATTATTATGTTTTGGAGTATCTCAAATATACCCCAGATAATCAAACAAGGATCTGTAATATTTCAGATCCATGTATAAAATATTTGCACAAGGGCACATACTTCACCTGAACCTTGTTACTCTATTATGCACCATAAAAAGATGTTCATGTGGGACAAAGCAGAGAAGAACAATCCAACATATATTCTAACTCATTAGTTTTGCAGATGCAAACATTCAAAGCCAATTCAAAAACTACCAACAGAGATAAACAATAATAAGTAAACAACAACCTGACCCAAGAACACACCCATCAATACTGATACAGGAAGCCACTAATGTATGAACAGAGATCAGCCAAGAACCCCATCTAAAAGTGTGTTTTTTTTCATTCCAAGGAAATATGTGAAAACAAGCAAACTAAATTTAACTTACTCATTTGGTTTTCCCAATGTCAGTAGCTCTATCTAACATGCTTTACAAGTTTGGCTGAGTGCATTAGGATCCAGATTTTAAGGAGAAAATCTTACCAGGGTTGAATTGTTGAACCCTGGAAAGCCCCACAGCCTCCAGGCATCATAAAATAATGTCCACATCATCCCTCATTTCATCTAGGCCAGAGATGTATAACTGGGTATCATCAGCATACTTCATCACTTGGTGATAGATGATCTTACCCAGCCGTTTCGTGTAGGTGTTAAAAAGGAGCAGAAAAGGCACTGAGCCCTCTGTCATCCTGCCAAGCAGGATCTGTGGACCCCTTGCTTCCTATTAACATAGATTGGGACCGACCTCAGAAGAAGGAGGTGAACCAGCATAGAACTGTACTTCCTACCCTCAACTCCATAGGACAGCCCAAAAGGATACTGCAGCCAAGAGTATTGAAAACTGCTGAGAAGTTAAGAAGAGCAAGGAGGGATGCACCACCTCCAGCATCATCCCATCAGAGATCATTCTTTAGTGCAAACAATATTGTTTCTGTCCCATAAATAGGCCAGAAATTTGATTGAAAAAGAGTCCAGATAATCTGTTTCCTCCAGGGTCATCTGGATTGCAAAGCTACTACCGTCTCTAGACTGGACAAAAATTGTCCAGAACAGTGGAGTCCAGTGATAACTACTTGAGGAGGGGTTTTACCAGTACCTCTTTAAAAGGAGCTGGGAGTATACCCTCTTATAAGGGTGTGCTCCCAGCTCCTTTTGTTTGTGTTTTAGAGAAATGAAAAAATATGTTAAAATTGAAAGACTTATATGATTAAGGTTACACGGTGCTTATTTTTTTGCATATGTTAATCTTTTAAAAAATAAAGTTTCTAAGAGAAGAAGAAGAAAAAATGATGAAAAATTAACCTGTGGGCTGCTATTTCAAGGGATTAAAGATTAAACATTTTAGTACATTGTTGCTTCTGATAGCTCTTAATAATACTTTGAATGGTGAGGTTTAAAGATTTATAAATAAAAGATATGGGGAAAAGTTATAGAGCACTGCACACCAGAACAACTAGATACAAGAACAGTTTTTCCCCGAAAGCCATCACTCTGCTAAACAAATAATTCTCTCAACACTGTTCAACTATTACAAAGTCTGCACTACTATTACTGTTAATTTTCCCATCACTCCTTACCACCCATCCCCTCCCACTTATGATTGTATGACTGTAACTTTGTCACTTGTATCCTTATGATCTATATTGACTGTTTCCTAGTATGATTTGATTGCTTATTGTACCCTATGACTATTACTAAGTGTTGAACCTGATGATTCTTGACTCCTGACGAATGTATCTTTTCTTTTATGTATACTGAGAGCATTTACACCAAGACAAATTCCTTATGTGTCCAATCACACTTGGCCAATAAAAGAATTATTATTATTATTATTATTATTATTATTATTATTATTATTATTAT